ATTTTAATAACTTTAGATACTTCAAAATGTTAAAATTAAAGGATGGAAATGTTCTTCTTGCCAAAACGAACGAATCTAGTGTAAAAACTAGTGTGTACAATTAGTAAAAGATGACCATGATTTCAGAAACTAAAATTCCATTTTGGCAATTTTTATTTTTTTCATCGAAAACCATTCTAAAATTTATACATACATACATACATACATGAAGATAGTAAGAATTGAACGTTCTACAAAAAAAAGGTCTGAAGCCATTTTTCGTTAAGTCCAATACATTCGGAGTTAAAAGGTTTTTATTGATTATCTCGGAACGCTGATTTTGGACTTGTTCGGTTGTCGAACTCATCGATTCAATTGCACCCTGCGACAAAAAAAAAACGAACTAATTTCGAAACAAACGAAACAATCAATATGCGCACTAAACAGTGGGTCAAATTCAGTAAAACTGCGTTTTCAGTTTTTCTCTCTGACGTAAGAATTTTTTTCAAAGGGTATGAATAATTACAACAATGCAGTGCAATATAAAATAATAACCATATGGGTACCATATGAAAGAGAAAACACTGTAGAATTAAAAAATAAAATACAATTGTTTGGTTCACAAGACGAATAGGTATTAAAAATGCCTTTTTAATTGGTTTTATTTTTTTAAGCTAATCAGGTTAGAAAGACGAAATTCGAGGATATGGTCGAGTGTATATTAGTCCTTAACATATAATTTTTTTCAAAAATAATTATTGCAAAATTCAAAGATGCCCATTTTGCCCAAACAAAATTAATCCGCTTTAATTCTACAGAATTTTCCCTTTAATTCGATACCCATACTGCACTGCACGGAATTTTTAAAATAATTTTTTGAAATAATCATATTTTTCAAATTTAAAAGTCCTTTAAAAAATCCTGACATTAGAGAGAAAACCTAAAAATGCATAACGCGGACCAAAAACCATAAATATGTATACAAATAGTTAAACTAAATTGGTCTCGAGAATACCAAAATAAAAGACTCAAGTAAAAACCATAACAGCTAAATTTATCTGTTCATGTGTACTTATAGTTTTTTTTTTGTATTGCATTTGGGCGTACTGGAATATATAAAAGTTCAAGTTGCTAATTTTTTTTCCACTAATTATTCCAACAAATTTTCAGTTTATGGACCACTTGATGGCTGGTATTGAAGATATAATTGGCAAGACTGGCAACTACAATGTGCGGGATAAGTTCAAACGTTTCGACAACCGCTTCATCAGGCCGCTTGTGATAAGAGATTTAAAGGTAATGACGCTACAAAAACTATTTTCGGTGGATATACACTAGCATTAGCACTATTTTTATTTTTTTAATTTTTTTTTAGGGTGCTGAACCGAAAATCATAGAAACCTATTCGAAACTTACAATGCGTGATGCTATGGAAGTGATGCGCCGCAATCCGTCTACCATCGGACAAATAACGGCCACCGAATCGATGAGTGCTCTCTTCAGAAATTACACCAGTAATTGTATTGGTGGAAGGTGGGCACCACCAACTATTTACACAACATGGTAAACGAATTTTGGAACAATTCTAAAAATGAGAAAAAAAAAAATATGGAAAATGTGCATGTACATACTCGTAAAACTTTCGTAAATGCGAAAAAGCAAACAAAAATGTACTATGACTTTGTGAGATGGTTTAAATTTAAACAATTTTCATTTGCTTACAGATTATATTGTTTTTTTTTTTTTTTGTTCGTTTTGGGTTTTGTAAAAACTTCTAGTAGTTGGTAATTTTATTGAGTTTTCAGTATTAAATTTTTTTGTAGTGACTTTACTGTTAGCTAGCATGTTACACTGTCTGCGCTGCCAAAATAATTGAATAGTACTTAAGTATTCAGAGTATTTAAAAATTTTTCTTTTAATGTACCAGTTGTGTATTGAGCAAAAATGTAAGTATTCAAATGTAATATTAAAAAAACAAGCGTGCGCCGAGTCATAAATTTTAATTGATTATTACTTTATTTGAAGTGATTTGAATTATAATTTAGGATTTTTAAAAATATTTTTTTCTTTTTCTGCAAAATGCAACAAATTTTCATCAATATTTCGACTTTTTTTGTGTGCAGTTTTAGGTTCCATGGGATTTGAATGTAATTATTATTTTTTTTGCTGATAGCTTTTTAGAATTTTTTCAAATATACTATCGGCCAAAAGTATTTGCTAGAATGCAAAATTTTTATTCTTTTTCTAATAGTTTTTTATAAAAATATGGTTGACACTACTAAAAAAAACATAAAATTCAATTTCTAAACTTTGTGCAAATTCCGGAAAATTCAATAAAATTTCATGCAAACTTTCAACTTTTTGATAAGATTTTTTGGAAATTCGAGTACGCAGTTATATTGCCCATTAAATTTTAATGCAATGAAATGCAAGTTTTAAGTAGCTAGAACTATGAATTTCGAAAATATTTTGTATGGAAAAAATGCGAAAAACCTTCAACAAAAACAAATACATAAATCAACGAGAGTTTTTAGAAACTTCAAACTTGTATTTTTTTACTTAAATTTAATGAGCTACAAAACTTCTTAAAAAATTAAAAAAAATCTGATTAAAAAATTGAGAATTCGCATGGAAATTTATTAATTTTTTCTGAGATTTGCTCAAAGTTTAGAAACTGTATTTTTATATTTTTGTTAAAGTATTTATATTTATAAAAAAAAAAACTAGCGGAAACATTAAACGTTAAGTTGTTGAACAAAAATCTTCGCTTAGATCCCCTTTAAATAGGTACCAAAAATTTGCCAAAATTTTAATAAACCCGAAAAAACATGCAGCGTGAAACCGTTTTTATATATAGCCATAAATCCTAACTGTTTAATAAGTTTTTTCGTTTCACAATTCGCTTTATACGTAAATTAGAGTTTGACAATACATATGTATGTACCTCAAACACTAAAATGTTTCTTAAAAAATGCACCGTAACTAAAATTCGTTTACTTTATTATGTTTTTTTTAATAAAATGTTGTATAAAAAAACAACTCTAATTACAGCACTTAACCTATACTTTCACTTACACTAACATATTTTATCTATGTAGTGTTATTCATGTAGAAATCATCTCATAATAAATTATTTTTTTGCAAAGCATGATGAAATTTTTCAATATGTGTATTAAGGTGCCTCACGAAAAAAAAGAGATAAAATGTTATCCTTTTTATAGACTTCGCAAAAATATTTTAACTGAATTTTGTGTTTTAGTCAGATGGACCGTGTTGAAAATTCAAAAAAATAAAATAAAATAAAATAAAATAAAAAAGTCGAGTTTTTCGTCTAAAAATTTGGAGAAAAATCCTTTTTTACGACAAATACCTTTGGTGATACATAACTGTAAACCTTAGGGATCTGCATCAATACTTCTAAAAACCCTGTCAATTTCTTCAAACTGATGACATTTTTAATAAAATTTTCGTCTACTTTCGAATGAAGTCCTCATGAGAATTTGAATGACTCCGCCATATTTTGATCAATTTTTATGTTCTGCTATCAATTTTTCTTCTTTTTTGATGTTCGGTTGAAGTTGAAATTTAGTTCAATTCAGCTTGAAAAGTATGATTACAGAAAACCTAAAATTCTTGCCAATACTTTTCAGTAAGTCGCTATCCAAAAAAAAAACTTTTTTTATTTTCGTGGCCCTAAACTTACATTTTTTTATATGTATAGTTTAGTAGATTGCCACAATTTGTTTGTATTTTTTTTTTTTTGTATTATTGCTTCAGTTTTCATCTTCAGTGTAGAACACACTCTAAACCCGTAAGAAGAAAACTTGATTGTGACTAAAATATCAAATTATTCTCGCGACGCAACATTTCAACGCAAACTTTTTTTCATGAGTCGGCCTAATACGCACTGTTTGCTTAAACTATTTATCTTTTTTAAAAATATACACTAAATTTATACAAACATTCATGCTTTGCAAAAAACCTCAAATATCTACTATACTTTGCGCTTTAATGCAATAGAAAATCTTAATGAATATATTTATATATTTTTCAACTCTTTATTTCACTATAGTCCAAGCCTTACGAATCTGGACAATAGTTGCTCACGCAATCTCGATATGCATGAGTTGGATTATAATCCGTCGAAAAAAGATTTGACAGATGCAAAAATACATCATCTACTTGCCGAGGAGCTGAAACCGTATCGAAGGGTTTGTATTAGTTAGATTTTATTTTATTAAATTTGATTTTGAATTCATCTTTGTAGAGTAACTTTATACAAAATAATTAGTTCGAAATACACCCAAACTATAATTTATATTTGTTTATGTAAATTTTGCTTATAAAGTGCGTTATATTCTCGCTTTCGAACCCACTTTTTCCGCGTCCTTTTTCCAACCTTTCTATGTAAAACATAAGTTTTTCATTTATTTATTATTTACCTTATTTGTCATACCTACCTATATACTATCCCTTTTCCAAAACTTAAGTATCAATCTTTAGTTAAATATGCTAAAATTTATTTAATGAAATGCAAATTTTCTTTCCCTTTTTATGTATGTTCGACGTAATGCTATGCGCGACATTTTTTAAAATAACAAATGTTATATATTTTACTCGAAAAATAAAACGCGACGCGAATTCCAAAACAAACTGCTGAAAATCCAAAAACCTTTCGTCAATGCTAATCTATTAAAAAACGAAAACAAAAACTCACTAATATGCAGGCTTCAATGCAAATGGTACGGCAAAAATTGGTTATTTTATTTACTTACGATAAGAAAATTGCATCCTCTTACTATTTACTTATTGCTATTTCCGCTGTTGTTTCTTAATTGTTGTGTCAAACTTCATTCTAAATATAAAACTAAAAATAATATTTAACAATAAATTTGTTCTACATACGTAGTCTATAAACAAATATTACTTGTTAGAATTTTTAAATAATCAGTAAAGATGTTAAATTTGATGTCTATAATTGATGAAGTGCTAATAATATAAAAAATAAGTATTTTTTTCTCACGCCATTCTTTTAATTGTGTTAAATGTATTTATTTATTTATTAAAATAATTTTTATGTAGCAAAAAAAAATTTATTTCACATGTAAAAATTTGTGTTTGTGTGCTAGTTTTCTGCTTTCACAAGTCTTTACCACTAATGGTCATAATTTTAATTTATTTTTTTTTTGTAATTTTGTTGCGAAGGTTGAAATTTTAGATTTGAAATATAAACGCTCTTAGTTAGAAAAATTTTAGAGTTAGAATCGATTAGATAGGTTAAATTAGTTTGAGGAGGTTGCCATCTATAAGTATAGCACTTGTATCATAAATATCTGTCGTTTATGATAACATTAATTATTGAACGGTAAACCAGGATTTACATGAGGAGATTTTTTAGACGATTTAACATTGCCTCAGAAAAATCGCTCGTGTAGACAGCAAGTAAACTTTTGCAGGCGATTATCGCCTGTTAGCCATTTCAGCAGGGTTTAGCCGCAAGAGATCCTGTTTAGCTTCTAGGATTTTTCTAAGCTTTTTCTTAAAATAATTTTGCGTTTTTTAGCTTTTGATTTTCGCTCAAAGTATTGACTAAAAAATTAAATAGTGTTAAAATGTTTAATTCTGAATCCTCCACTTTATGCGACAATTGCGCGACTCACATTCCTTTTAGGAATGAGTGAACAAGAAGCTGTAGTTGCAAGGCGCCACCGATGAATTTCTACACGAATGGATCGAAGCTTGACAGAAGGGTCAGGGGATGGTTCTTTCATGCAGATCACTAATCATTAGCCTTTAATTTAGGCTTCCACCAAATCCCTGTACAGGCGGAGCTTGCATTTGAGCCATTCAATTTTAAGTCGGACGGATTTCGTAAAAAAAATTATGTCATGTCTCTGATTCGCTTCAAATTTTTTTGTGGGTTCTATACATGAAATATGCTAACACGTGTTCGAGGAATTTTTTTCTTCTTTTTTTCTTCGGAGATATGATCTGTCAAAGTTTGCATTTTTTCGTGATTCTGACTAATCATGTACTTCTTCAAATCGTTATATCTCGGGTTCTGCCCATCATAGAGACTTCATCTTAACGTCGTTTTAAAGCCAAATCGGGCTTCACATATAGATATTCTGGCGAAATCCACAAAAATGTCTAAATTTTTGAACTTTGGTTTTAATATAGCCACGCCTATTTCTAGAATATTCTTTGATTGAAAAAGTTGTGGAACAAATGTTGTTAACGAAGCGATATTCTGCCGAAATCCGCAATAAAATCTGCGTTTGTTGAAAAATTGTTGATTCTCACAAAATAAACCATATCGTCATAAAGAAAAATATTTTAAAAATAGTTCTTGAAAAACCCCCATTTTTTAACCACGTTTTTTTATAGAGAATTAAACAAGGATTACGATGGTATAATTTTAAATCCCCAATTTACTGGTCTTCACTATGCAAATTAACTACAAAAAGTTCAACTGTTAATAGCTAAGTTAGCTTTAGGACAATCTTGACCATCTTATATATAGAAATGTTAAGCCCGTTTCTTTAGCTTTAAAACGACTTTAAGACGAAGTCTCTACGATGAGCAGAACCCGAGATATACCGATTTGAAGAAGTACATGATTAGTCAGAATCACGAAAAAATGCAAACTTTGACAGATCATATCTCCGAAGAACAAAAGAGAAGAAAAAATTCCTCGAACACGTGTTAGCATATTTCATGTATAGAACCCAAAAAAAAAAATGTTAAGCCAATCGAAAGTGTGACACCAAATTTGGTGTCCGATATGAAAAAGAATGTCTCATTTAGGAAGTAGTCGAATGTCTTTACAACTGCAAGACTTCGAAATATCTACTCCGATTTTCCACAATCAGACTCATTTGGATACCAGGCCAGTCGAGTTGATTTCACCGGCGCTAAAGAGTGAGAGTACTTTCTCTTTGGTGAGTGTCTTGATATATATTCACTTGATGGTGCAAAATATCACACGGAATCGTCAATGTCGCAGCTGATTACAGGCGATGATTTTGTCAGGCTAGAAAAAATATTTACTTATGTACAAAATAAATTAGAAAATTTACCACAAACATTGACACTGTTATGAAGTTACAATAACAGTTTCAAAACCTAAATTTCGATAGGTGAATATAGAGAAAGCTTTATTTCTGTCCTTACTTAGAATAGTTACATAGACGACGAATTTAGCGTAAAAATTTCAGTGGTTCTTGTTATATATAGACTAATGCTCAGTGCATTCAATGTATCATCCCATTTGCGATAGATCTTCAACACGGTGTCTGAGTAAAAAAATATACTGAATCATGACCATTATTGTTATCGCTTGCATTCATACATATTAACACACTACAAAAAGCACTTCGATTTTTTCACCACAAAAACATTCTCGCTTTAATATGCACTTTTCTCACCAATGCAATTAATAAATTTATTTTAATAAGAAGGAATGGTATGAATTTAAATTTTAATCAAAATGCTATTCATATCTCCTTGGATTATTTTTGTCTTTGGTATTCTAAAGCCTATCACATAAGGACAAATTTCCTAATACAGTGTAATCTCTCCTAACAGACACCTCTTTTAGACGTACATTTATTCCTATCCTAAGTCTTAGTTATACATTTCGGAAAACAATTTGCCTCTCTTGGGCGGAGCTTGGTGCGGCGGGCCAAACATTTGTTTATAAAATTGGCCTAAAAACGTCTATTGCGCCGACGCGAACCTCTTAACAATGGACATTAAGATCTATCTTCATAATTAAATTGGGCGCGAACTCCTTTCTGCCAGCTGGTGTCCATGGTTGCATTTCAAATTTTTGTAGAATTTTTAAAATTCTCTCAGATGGGCAAAAACCGGATCTACATGTATATTTCTTGTTATTCTGACTTTACTTAACATACGTTTCAATTTCTCTCGACTACCTTCACATCATTTCAAACAGTTTCAAACTAAAACTTTCACAAACCTCTCTCTTGTGATACCTTTTATTACGTACATGCAGTTTAGAAATGACACCTTTTCAAAACCATTTCGATTAATACCCATATTGTAATATTTCATTGAAATTATTGAATAGTTTTTTTAACTTTTTAAACAGTTGGCAACCTTTTTAACCTTTCGAATGACATTCATATTGTGAATTAGAATCTTTAAACATGTGGAAACCCTGTTATACATATGTAGTTTAGAAGTAAAGCCTTTAAAGAAGGTGGCAACCCTCTTTCAGATCCCTCAAAAATGTTTACATGTTTAAGCTGAACATTTCTAAACACTCTTGCGTTTGAAACTTTAACTTGAGTACAATTTATTTAAATTCAACTTTTACAACAAAAAATTCAAGATATTTTCTAACTAAAGCCTTACTAAACCCCTTTCGTCTGCACCCATACAGTGATATATATTACAATTACCTAATTCCCTTAATTCAAATAGCACTTGATTTTTCAAACAGGTGGCAACCCTCCCAAATGTGGTTAAAAACTATAACTCTTTGCAAAAACATTTCGCTTGATATAAATATTTTGTAATTCATTTAAATTAATTGAATTTAATTTTAAAACAGGCGGCAACCCTTGTAAAACACCTCAATAATATTTCAAATGTTTAATCTTAAGGTTTCTTAACAATCTTTCGTTTGACACCCATATTTTCATTTTTCAGATAGCTTGCAAATAATTAATTCAATTTGATTATCAAATCCAATGGCAATCCTTTTAAAAATATTTTCAAACTACAAGTTTTTTAAGCTTCTTGACATCCAATTTTTTATTATAATTTTCAAAAAACAAAAATAATTCCCTTAATTCAAGTTAAATTTGATTTTTTGACAGTTCTCCATGAGCATGGAATTTATAATATAAATATATCTCCATACCAAGTTCCCGTACTCTATCACAAATTTTTCCTGAGATATGCAGTATGAAAGATTCCGTTTGTATGGGAGGTGTCATGCCCCCTCGTCTGATCGGGATTAAATCCATATTTCTATATCTACATCTATCTATATTTTAATTTGAGCTAAATGACACCAGTGTACAAAATTTCCTGATGACCGGTTCAATAATTAAAGCGTGAAAGAAACTCACTTTCAGATTTATAATATTAGTAAGGAAAAACTACTATAAGTGACCATCACCTATCACCTTTTGTTTCTTTGCTAGATCTTCTCAAATATTGCAAAAAAGTCAAATTTTTTACACTTTGACCACATTTTTCTAAAAACCTGGACCTGACGAAAACTTTTTACTTACGGATTCGCAATCAGCATAAAATAGTGGTGTATCAAAAACAGCTTTAACATTTGCCGCACCAAAAGTAGTGTTGGCCCGTGTTATGTAACTTGCTCAAAATTCTAAAGTAGGATTTTAACAGATAGTTGTAATTAATCCCAACGGCTTTTTACCCCCCCCCCCATTTCCGCCCAACCGACACGAGGGGCGCAGTCCGCATGACGTACGAATTTTTATTTTTTTTTTTTAATTTTGTTGCCGAGTAGTGGAAACAGAGATCTAAAACATTTCAGCTACAGAATCAAATTCATCAGCTGATTGGATATGCTAAAGATAGTATTTCAATTATTGAGAGTGGAAATAATAGTTTTCTTTATAGTAAAAATCGAGTCCGATACGTCAAACGTGCTGGAATGACAGTTAAAATCTTGACATAAACCACGGAATGATTCGTTTAGTTCAAAATTAGTTTTGCATGGCTTCAAAAATGGAGGTCGAAAGTTTCTTGACACTCGAGAGGGAACATTAAAATTTACCTCAGCCAGGAGGGCCGGGCTATTAATCAAGCGAGTGTAGGCAAATTTATGAGCTTTAGACGACTTGTGTAAGGGGGGAGATTGTAATCTGAATCCCAGTTAAAATTACGCAATGCAAAAAGCAAGAATTGTTTTTAAATTGATTCAATCCTTTCTGAATGAACTTTGTAGCGGGGATTCCAAACAATAGATCCGTATTCTAGTATAGGTCAAACTAAAGTGGTAAAAAGAGCTTTTGTAACATAAGGATCTTTGAACTCTTTTGACCATCGCCTTACAAATGCAAAAACGCCTTTGGCTTTATTGACTGTAACATTAATATGATGGTTGAAATTGAGATTGGAATCCATTGTGATACCAAGATCGACAAAATTGGATACCTACTCCAGATTATAATTTGATATTGAATAAACAGCTGGTTGAACAGCCCTCCGAGAGAAACACATAACTTTACATGTTTGAAGGTTTAGTGGCATATACTAGTTTGCATTACACCAACTAACCACGTTGCTCAGATCCGCTTGTAACAAAGACCTTTCTTCGATAGAGGACAATGTTTTAAAAAGTTTCACATCATCGGCATACATACAATTTTTTGAATGTTTTATTATAGAAGAGATATCATTAATGAATATCAGGAACAGAATCGGACCAAGGTGGCTTCCCTGAGGAACTCCTGAAGAAACTTTAATGATGTTGGAAGAACAATTGTTAACAATAACTCTTTGTGTTCTATCAGAGAGTTAAGAAGAGATCCATTGAAGAAGACTGGGCTGAAAGCAGATTAGGTCGAGTTTACGGATGAGTAACCAGTGACATACTTTGTCAAAAGCTTTACTGAAATTGGTGTATATTAAGTCGGTATGAGCATTTTCTCTAAAACCGTTTGAGACATAAGTCGTAAACTCCAATAAATTAGTGTTAGTAGATTTTCCTTTAGAAAACCCGTTTTGAGATTGTGAAATTGAAGAAGATATAGAATATGTCAGCTGATTGTTGACCGGATTACTTTTGCATTTGAAGTTACTTCTCAGAGATTTTTAAAAGCCACCGAACGAATAGAACTGCGGTATGTCCGCGCTGTTTAAGATTTTTCATTTAGGTAAAAGAAAGTTCTTCTAGAAGAAAAGTTATATAGATACATATGTATCTTATTACTTTTTCTCTATATTTTTAGGTCGTTTTTTCTTTGTGTACATTAACTGTTTCTATTTTGGTATTTGGTGGTTATTCCTAAGAACTCTTTACTTGAAATTATTGGTTTATAAAAAATTTAATCAACGTATTTAGTTTTGTTAAAATTTTGATATTTACATAAACTGTCGCTATACATTTGCACTCCTCACTCTTAAAAACTCTGCGTTGCTTATTCAATTGTTAATGAACTTATTGTGTATCTGATTTCAGTATGTTTTTCTTCGGACTTTTTTTCTGAAATCATTGATATTGTGAGAAAATATTGGATTTTTAAAAATTTTCTCAAAACAAATTAACTCACAAGCAGGCTGATCTATTCATTTTTTAATAGTTCTTTAATACCTTTAATGTCTTAAATAATATTCTTAAATTGTTATTAATTACTTTGTCAAAACTGAGGCTTAGTTGTTGCAAGTCATAATATATATTATTAAATTCTTTATGTTTGTGTAAGCCTAGTGTTTTCCAACAATGCAAAAATACCTAAAACTGAAAACAAAAACCAAAAACCTTGTCGTTAATACCTTGTGAATTGCATTTTATTTTTACAGCACCGCCGCCTTAGTTATAGCCGACACGCAGTAGATGACAGAGATTTGTCTACGCAGGTAAGTCAAGAAACCCCCCCAAAAAAAAATATAAAAAAAATAAAACAAGGACTACCGAAATTTTTCAAAGTACTAGTTAAATAATTGACAAATCTCTGAAATGTTAACTCGCACTGCTGCATAAGAAATATCAATGTAGTGTTTGTACAAAGTGTCGAATTATATCTAATATTTATAAATGAAATGTACATATTTGTGTGTATTATACGTATATATATATGTAGTTTACAAGCGTTGCAATAAAATGCATTCGCTTGGAAAGTATTGTACTTGTACGTTATTGTGTAATTTTTTGAAACTAATTTGCATTTGATTTTTTTTTTATATTCAAACACTTTGCAGGTGAATTACAAAATGCAAATGAATTTCCGACGTATGTTCAACGATCGGAAACATCACAAGCGCAGCAAACGTGCCAGTAATAAGGTAGGCAGTTAGTTGCACCTTTGTGAGAGTGCCACTTTGTAAATGCATTTATGCAAATAATCTAATAAGTATTTTTTTTGTTTATTTTACAGCAACAAGATGGTGTTAAACAAAATCATGTCTCATTCCACGACTTCCAACAGAACGGGACAACGAAACAATTCTCGCATGGTACGAACAAAACGAAACATCAATTTCGCAAAATTCTAATCAGAAAACATAATCACAATTCACTTAACAAATATCGTAGATTAGAAATAGGTAAATGTGCTAACAAGTAAATTACTAATGTTTTTTTTTTTCTAAACGATTTCCAAGTAAATTTAAATCTTTGAGGGTAGTGGAATAATGTTATGGGTCGTAACTTTTCCTTAAGGTTAATTTCTGTTTGAAAATGTAGAAAAAATTTCATAAAATATCTTAAGCTACAGCCAGAAAAATAGTTAAGTAGTTAAGGTGCTACAAAAAATTTACGAATTAGGCACACACAAAATATTTTTTTTTTTTTAACTGCTAAATAGAAAATTTTCGGTTCACATCACCCTGTTTTTATTTTTTGTTAAAACTAAACAATAGACAAGAAAAAAAAAACGGCACCCACAGTCTACATACCACATTTAAACAATTTTCGCACTCGCTTTTTCAATCAAAAATATGTACCTGATTTAGGTCCAGGTTATTTTATCAATCTTGCCAAAGGACAATCAGCTGTTCCGTACAAAATATAAACAAACAAGCAAATGCAACAACAATTTCAAGAAGCAAGCAACAGTGTTTTGCCACTTGTTTGACATATTTAAATTAAGTTGATCTGAAACCAAACGAAAGTTAAATGGCATTTAAATCACATTCCACAATTAAACCTTAGTGCCGTTTAAATATTCATTTGAAATTGGCCCTTAGATTGCCAGCTTAGCATCACAGATTAAATCAGTTCCATTAGAATGTATTGTCTTTTTAAAACCTTGCTTAATCGCAAACGGTGCACAGTGGGCTAAAACGAGGCGATGTGGGCAAAATCAAATATTTCCTCTTTGGATTAACCTTTTTGGGTGATTTTTTTTTTTTAAATTAAAGGCAAGCGCATATATTTCGAGGAAAAATAGGTAAAAGAATTGAAACCAATATTCAATGTTACTTCCCGATCAACAAGTAGGATTTCATTTTTAATTAACTCCCTTTTATTAGCTTTAACTTTACCGGGAAAAAAACGTGGGGTTCTTGATACCTATTGTTTTGAACTTTTCATTTTCAGTATAGTAATATTGAATATTGGCAATGACAAGACTATAAAATCTAAGAATCGTGGTCCAAGTAAGCCTTCCCTAGTACTCCCATCGTCTATCTTCGATACGTGGGTATGCCATTATTGGGGCCCTTCGTCAATCATAGATAAATATTATCGCTTCACAGCAGTCCTTTTCAGGATTTTCGACCTTTTAGGGCTTGCAGAGGAGTAAATGCGGTCGCATGATGTTTGTGAGCTTGATAGCGGGATCATCCGGAATGGCTTGAGAACTTTATGCATAGGGCGCTCCAGCAGACCTCCTTTTAAATCGAAATCCCTTTTCAGCACACCAGTCTTTAGTTAATTTTAGCTCTGCTTGAAATCTAGAGTAAATAGTTTCCCAATGGCGACCAACAAGATCGATGACTACATCACTCCAAAAGAGGCGATAGCGCCAAGATAATAAAAAAACGGCAAATCTTTTTGTGGAATTATTTATTTCCTTTTAAGTAATATACGTTCTAAATTTAGTATTTATAAGTAGGTAGAAAATTATTATTTATTTCGAATGAATCCATCATTTTGTAGATACATACATACTAGGGATGCTAATTTTTCGGCTTTTTCCGATCCCGGGATTTTCGGGATGGCTAGACATTTATAAAAAAATATTAATTATTAAATAAAAAAAATGTAGCCAATACTGGTCAAGAAAACGAGTTTCTATTAATGCCATCAGTGCAAATTACAAATCCCGAAAACCCCGGAATTACTTGCCAAGGATCCAGGGATTTTCGAGACCTTAAAAAAATCCGGGATACCGGGATCCCGGGATTAACATTCCAAATACATACATATGAAAAAGCACAGGATCACACAGACGAAAAAAGTATTTGAGTCATAGTTTAATTTAGCACGCTGCCTAACATAATTTCAAATCTATGTATTGAAAATTGCTTTCTTATTTTCAAAAGAACTTATAAATTCAAGGCTATATTGATTATATTTTGAGAGGGCATTTACCATTAACTATGTTAAATAATTAATATAATTTTGTATAATAAGTCTGTTTCGATGTAATTATAAGAAATTATCAGGCTTCGGAGTTCGCGTGTGCAAAAAACTTGTAAAGTAGAGGAATTTGAGAGCGCAAAGTAATATGTAGTTGACTTTTTGTTCGCATATTTTTTTATACATACCTTTCACGAATATGAAAAATAACTTTAGTACGATTTTTGTAAGTACCAAAAGAAGAAGAGATAGGCCCATGAAAAAGTATACCAAAATGATCAGAACGTCGAGCACTGGTCTTTACTTGTTTTGTTTATTATTCTACTTGAGAGAAAATCGTTCATTATTCTTGCTGGATAGTTGTCATTGTACTAAAACTTATCGAACAGGCTAAATAAGATACTTATCATCAGTAGTTTTTCCCTACCCGAATAATTTTAAAATTATTATTTTGTGTATTTTTTATTAAAATTTCAAAAACGTTATTAGCATAGTTAATTGGCTATTTTCCAAATTATATAACCTAACCACAACATATTGGCGACAATTTTCTATTCTTGCATTTACTTTTCTCTTGCTTGCACACACATTGGCGGATTTTTTCGGATTCTCTTTTTTCTCTTATCCAACTTATTCCCTTTTGCATAAAAACACACATAACACACATTATACCACATAAAATCGTATATATGTATAATAATTTATGTCTAAAAAAGATTATATTAATGATGTTCTCAATGAATCAGGAGAAGAAAATCTGGGCAAACTGAACGAGGTGACAGTTGTGAGTGGCGATGATTGGGATGATGGCTTAACATTTACGGCGAAATCCTCACGTAAGTACACATTTACAAACTTGTCATTCATACATTGATCAATATACTTACATACATACATATGTACTTAATTACTGACATACACACAATGAATGTACTACAAACATACATACATATAAATTGTTTGGTATAATTTTTTGTTACCTTAAAAAAATAGTTACATATGTATATTTTATCATTAATTCAAAGTATTTGCTAGTG